ACACTAACCGACCTTCCTAGGCGCGACACTTTTCCGTGGGTTGTCTAATGATACCTTGCCCCCACGGGCAGCAGCTAAGATAGTTAAAAGCCCAAAGAAAAGAGCTGAACCGATCAACCCTCAATGTTAAGGCACCTGAACCTCACAGAAAGCAGAAGAGCTGAGGTAGAGCTATTGCATATATATTTGAAAATAATCGCATAAGTCAATAACATAAAATGATACAGTAAAAGGACTACGTGGTTTTAATATTTATTTTTAGCATTTGTTCCGCCCATGTGCACTGCTAAAGAATAGCAAATATCGGCATATTGCATGCATTTTTATGTATAATCTACTTTAAAAGCATTATATATCAACTCGCGCATAAAATACCTTATGAACGGCTTGGCCTTGTTGTTTATCACTGCAAGACCTACAACAGAAATTCGTTTCACTTACTCTAATCAACATCTTTTGTGAAAGTGACTTCAAGTAAAGATATCTGTTGGAACAAATGGACCGCGTGACAAGAGACCAATAAAACTACAGAAAACCTTAAGAATATATTCGCAATAAATTAGAGCTTTTGACAATAATGGCGCTACTAGACCATGACTGTAATGAAATATCCTACAGAACGTGCGTAAGCAAGCAAGGACAAAAAGCCATTATATTGCCCATAACAGCAGTTCGGCTGATTTGTAGACAAACTGAAAGCGAACGAGTTCTACTTTTCTACTGCAGGCCGTCAGTTATTATCACCTCAAGCTGATACAAGTCCACTTAGCTCGGCTATTATCTGGAAAGACGTAAAAATGCCAGTCAATAATGTCTTCACAATACAGTAAGCCAGGGCCCCGTATCTCGAAAGCATCGCGTATTGCGAATCGCTCTATCAAATAGAGGCTACAATGTATTATATGGGACGAGTATGGGCGAGTTATGGAATCGAGACGCTTGCGCACGTGCGCAACATAGCGAACCTTTCGAGATACGGAGCCCTGGTTTCCAAACCAGAGCTGTCAATGTGGTATGACTTTGCCTTTGTTTGGAAATAAGCCAAGAATATCGGAACCTAAGTAAGATACTCCAATGAAAAAAATGGAGAAACAGAGAGCGTAACAAATGTTGACTCGTCGGTTTTAGTCATTCTCCGGTCAAATGTTTATTTCTATGAATTAACAACTCAATATAAGACAGACGTTTACAAAGGTAGAATAAAAATAAAAAAGTGGTACAAGAGGTTACTTTATAGAGGAAACAATCGTATAAAACGTTTTAAACATTTTTCGCTGCTTATCACAGACACGGGGAAGTACTGAAAGTCTGGAGGAGTTGCACTCAAACTCCAAGAAATCTGAAGGTCTCCCAATTCTCTGCCTGTCTGAACAAAGTATTTTAATCCCGTTATTCTACGTACAAATGTGATTTCTCATAATGTATTGTATATTGACTAAAACCTTGACAGTTCACAGCACCTGCACCTATCAAAACTTTTGCCTGGTACTTTGGCATTTAAAGCGGCCATGACCTGTCGGACCGGCAGTTACCCTGTGTCTGTTTTCTTATGTGACACTGTCCAACTAATATCAGATCACGACGGAAGGATGTGCCTGCTTTGGAAATGATTGGAAACAGCGCAGGCTATGCAAATGCACCTCTTAATGCAAGGCATGCATGGATGTTTAATAAAATTACAACTGGTTTCTCAGAAGATGTACATGTATGTGTACTAATGTCATATAGATGAAATGTTTAAATTATTTCCTTTCTGTTGTTTACATGGTATCGGGTGGCGAAAACGACACGATTGTAATATATCAATCTTGACAGAGAAAAGAAACTCCCGGGGTTATTGCATTTCATTAGGGTGAAAATGCGATTTTTATTTATTGATATTCCAAATACGATTAAATTGTGATATGTTCTATTTCAGTTAACTGCTATGATAAGCTGCTTGCCAGTCCTCTGCAACTGTCAGGGGCCACCAGTGCTCTCCAGAAGCCGCATGCCGACAAGCTGATTGGGTTTTAACACGCCGGCTTCACCCTAGGTGACAGAATTAATAAAGGGTTTATCTTCTGGGCAGTCGCAACTGTGTTTTCTCTCTACGGGGAGCTTTGTCCAATTACCGTACTGAAATCCAAGTGAATTTGAATAGCAAACCAGTCCCNCAATAACTATGTTGTTAGTAGGGAGCTTGCGGAATCAGCCGAGGATTGCCGATTGACGATCAACCAATCAGCGTTTTCACCAAACTTTGGTGAAAAAATTTGAAACATGGATTCGATTGGCTTATATAAAATAGGTCAAACTATTTTCGTCAGAGGTTACTTGACACGATGGAGATAGGCTACAGTGAAAAGGTTAGTGTCAAGTTAGCTCTGAAGCTCAGGGTGGTAATTAGATGACCAGTTTAAGTACATCACAAATTGGACTTGCATGTTATGAAGAAGTGAGCACCCGTATCCATTGTGAAATAAACAAGAGGGCCTGTAGGTAGATGTCCCAAGGTGACTCTTCAAACGGTAATATCCCAGTAGTATTGTCTGTTTCTAATTAGCGCTGGATACTCACTGTATTAGAGATTATAGTGTGTATTATATACAGGGTCTTGTAGGTAGGCCTAGTACCTTGTGGCAAACTTGTTTTGCGTTGAAGGACTGGTACGGAGGGGGGGGGGGAGGGGGCGGGGGAGGGGTAGAGGTTCAAGGCCACAGGTATATCCAGAATGCTGTCTGGGTTTAATTTGACATAGTCCATTAAATGTCTTACGTCTGAATTATTGAATAGCTTTATTACGCAAAAATACGTTTTCGTATACAGATGCATGGAAAATACACGGGCCTCAAATGACATTATGTGTGTGTGTGCGCGCGTGCGCGCGCGCGCGCGCGAGAGAGAGAGAGAGAGAGAGAGAGAGAGAGAAAGAGAGAGAGTGAGTAAATTAAAAGGCATTAGTTAATTACTCTCACTTACAGATTGAGGCATAAAATGTCAAGGTCACATAATTTTCTTGCACTCATTGTATTGGGAAAAGTTATTTCTAGGAACTGCAGAGCATATACATATAGGCTCTGAGCCGGAGGGGTGGCATCTTTAATTTAGTATTCTCTTTGAAAAAGTCCAATTAATTAACCACTCATTGACGCAGATCACAAGATTTCTAAATAAAAATCTCTTTGGAGACAAGTGGCCTTTTAAGTAATAATCATTTATATCAGATATGTGTGTTCAACAAACCAACCCTTCTCAGATCTCTGGCGGTCTTTTCAAACACTCTAACCTTCAAGGCATATTATCTATTAACGAAATGGGTTAATTTGTGGATTACCATGGTCATGTTCCAGCGGAAATAAGCTAAAATGTAGATTGACAACGTCAGTGATAAGATGGAAATTAGATAAAAGAGAGCGCATGTTCCAGAATACGTTGCGCAAGCAGCAAATCGTTGGTACAGCGGAACAGACTGTGCTCTGCTTTGTTCAGCGTTGTGGCTAGAGGTTTCCAGATAAACACAATAGAGCGGAAAGTGATACGCTAAGGTAAGATTGAGCAGACATTAAGTACTGCTGTAAGTCCGTGATGCACATGTAGATATGATATTATAAAGAATGACAGTGAAAGACTTGGTTCAGACGAGACGGGAATTTGTTTATAACAAAAAATGGTGCAAATGTCCTCTTATATCGGATTAAAGTAACGCACATTTCATTTCAGAATTGTACTTTTGGACAACAAATTTTGCACATATGGAAGTTTCAAATTATTTTATTTATTATTTTGACCCAAAACTTGTTAAGTTGCCGACTTTTTATATACTAAGAAGAAATGTGCAGTGCATTGAATTATAGGAAATATGTAGGAAATATTAAGATTCAAAGTTCGCTGCGTTTTGTCCATGGTTTTAAAAGAATGTGTTGAATGCAGCGTACAATTGCATTCATTAGACTTTTAAAAGTTCAAATCATTGCAAAGATGCACCAAGTAACAATGATATGTGACTTTATTATTATTATTGTTGTTGTTGTTGTTGTTATTCTTGTTGTTAATGACAGTAATCTTGGCCCCATATGAATTTTATTAAATGTACTGTCTCTGACGTGGTTTTTTCGTTGATGACCGCGTGCTGAGTAATGATTAAATACCTAGCATATCCGTATTAAACATTTTAATCAAAACATGGACTTAACATGTGGAAGCTGTAGTCTAATTATAATACCCATCTATTCAGGTAATATTTAAAGCAATAAATCCACAGGGAACTTGTCAGCACATATCGACAATCGCCATATTGAAACATGTGTGTTCAACAAACTGACAATAACAAAAATGAATTTTAATTTAAAAATGGTTAATTTAAAAACAGTCAACAGAAAACTTGATGAAATGCTGGCTGTTAGACAGAGTACTGCGTGGGTTATTTAATTGAAATAGGAAGACGGTGTAGGATTGATTAATTACGTTATCACTTAACTTACCACTGTTTGCTGGACGCTCGTTGTGAACCTAGGGACGTACATGTAGCACTGACCTTTAATCAAAGTGTGTATAGATTTCTTAAAGCTGGGAAAGGAGGACAGTGTGCATAATGTTGCACAGGGTACGCTAGCCGTGACAGCATTTTTTTGAAATCCAAACTGACTGATCAGCAGGTATCATCCACTTCAAAGACTAGTGCAAGGGCAAGGACACGGGAAAAAGGTCTCCGACGTGTGCAGACTACTGAAAGTGATAAGTGCTTAGTGCAAATTTCACTTAGTGCCTCTCGAGCTACTCGGCATAAAGTTGTTTTCCGAATTGCTAGTTTGACAGATAATTGGGAAATCGGGTTAAACGTGCTTTACATACAAAAGAAAACAGAAGTGTGTACCAGAAATATTGTACGTGTAAAACCACATGAGGGAGCATTAATTAGTTTTGCGCGTGGCTTTCCTTGGAAAGCGATCATATAAGAACGGAGACCAGAGGAAAGAATCAGCAGAATCATTTTTGTTTTACATTAGGAAGAACAACCAGTAAGAGTTGTCAAGTCTTGGAGACATGGCTGCCAAAGTTTCGTAAACTTACTGAAATTTCGAAAGAACCAATGACCGATGAACCGATGTAAGTGCAGAAGCAAACCACAGCTTTACGAGAAGACGCCATCATTGTTATGGACCTTGAAAGGTTTGTGCTACGTATCATATATACATATTAGAATGAACTGATCCCGATTCTTGGGATGCTCCAGGTCTGTAGCCAGCAATCTCTAAAGAGGGGAGGGGGTTCTTTTTCTGAAAAAGTGGACCTTTTCCAGTGAAACCTCCGTATACCTAGATCAAATTTTACACAGAGTGGACCTTTTCCAGGCAAAACAGGGTGGTTATTTCGAAACCTCACAACCCCTTTGGCTATGGCCCTGTGCTCAGTTCAGCAGAACAGTAGTTGAGATCAAAGGTGTGACGTCCTGCCTGAGTTCCAATTGAAATAGACCTACCAACAGTTTGCACAAAGGGCGCATCCTACGAAAGCTATTGGCCCACTTTGATCGATGCGGGGACTCTCGCTGAATGCAATCAGATTAAGGGAACACATTGTGTGCTAAGTATTGTTAAAAAATCTAACATTTCCGTCTTCAGGGAATTAGTTGCCTGTTTTTCAAAATCTTTGCTAGATAACAACTCTCCGTTAAGAATGTTTTTTCAATAAAAACACTTAATTTTAGATACACGTCTTAATAATATTGTAACGGCATTTTAACGACAAACATTCTCTAAAGATCCTTCCCTTTATGATTTCTTGGAAATGAGATCTCCAACGCAGATAGCTAGATACTACGCGAGCGAATTAGTGCTAGTAAAAATTATATGGAAGCCAGCCAACTGGAGAAACATTATCAGAAGCTATAAACCAAAGGCTCGTTTACATTAAACACTAACCGACCTTCCTAGGTGCGACACTTTTCCGTGGGTTGTCTAATGATACCTTGCCCCCACGGGCAGCAGCTAAGATAGTTAAAAGCCCAAAGAAAAGAGCTGAACCGATCAACCCTCAATGCTAAGGCACCTGAACCTCACAGAAAGCAGAAGAGCTGAGGTAGAGCTATTGCATATATATTTGAAAATAATCGCATATGTCAATAACATAAAATGATACAGTAAAAGGACTACATGGTTTTAATATTTATTTTTAGCATTTGTTCCGCCCATGTGCACTGCTAAAGAATAGCAAATATCGGCATATTGCATGCATTTTTATGTATAATCTACTTTAAAAGAATTATGTATCAACTCGCGAATAAAATACCCTATGAACGGCTTGGACTGGTTGTTTATCACTTCAAGACCTACAACAGAAATTCGTTTCACTAACTCTAATCAACATCTTTTGTGAAAGTGACTTCAAGTAAAGATATCTGTTGGAACAAATGGACCGCGTGACAAGAGACCAATAAAACTACAGAAAACCTTAAGAATATATTCGCAATGAATTAGAGCTTTTGACAATAATGGCGCTACTAGACCATGACTGTAATGACATATCCTACAGAACGTGCGTAAGCAAGCAAGGACAAAAAGCCATTATATTGCCCATAACACCAGTTCGGCTGATTTGTAGACAAACTGAAAGCGAACGAGTTCTACTTTTCTACTGCAGGCCGTCAGTTATTATCACCTCAAGCTGATACAAGTCCACTTAGCTCGGCTATTATCTGGAAAGACGCAAAAATGCCAGTCAATAATGTCTTCACAATACAGTAAGCCAGGGCCCCGTATCTCGAAAGCATCGCGTATTGCGAATCGCTCTATCAAATAGAGGCTACAATGTATTATATGGGACGAGTATGGGCGAGTTATGGAATCGAGACGCTTGCGCACGTGCGCAACATAGCGAACCTTTCGAGATACGGAGCCCTGGTTTCCAAACCAGAGCTGTCAATGTGGTATGACTTTGCCTTTGTTTGGAAATAAGCCAAGAATATCGGAACCTAAGTAAGATAGTCCAATGAAAAAAATGGAGAAACAGAGAGCGTAACAAATGTTGACTCGTCGGTTTTAGTCATTTTCCGGTCAAATGTTTATTTCTATGAATTAACAACTCAATATAAGACAGACGTTTACAAAGGTAGAATAAAAATAAAAAAGTGGTACAAGAGGTTACTTTATAGAGGAAACAATCGTATAAAACGTTTTAAACATTTTTCGCTGCTTATCACAGACACGGGGAAGTACTGAAAGTCTGGAGGAGTTGCACTCAAACTCCAAGAAATCTGAAGGTCTCCCAATTCTCTGCCTGTCTGAACAAAGTATTTTAATCCCGTTATTCTACGTACAAATGTGATTTCTCATAATGTATTGTATATTGACTAAAACCTTGTCAGTTCACAGCACCTGCACCTATCAAAACCTTTGGCATTTAAAGCGGCCATGACCTGTCGGACCGGCAGTTACCCTGTGTCTGTTTTCTTATGTGACATTGTCCAACTAATATCAGATCACGACGGAAGGATGTGCCTGCTTTGGAAATGATTGGAAACAGCGCAGGCTATGCAAATGCACCTCTAAATGCAAGGCATGCATGGACGTTTAATAAAATTACAACTGGTTTCTCAGAAGATGTACATGTATGTGTACTAATGTCATATAGATGAAATGTTTAAATTATTTCCTTTCTGTTGTTTACATGGTATCGGGTGGCGAAAACGACACGATTGTAATATATCAATCTTGACAGAGAAAAGAAACTCCCGGGGTTATTACATTTCATTAGGGTGAAAATGCGATTTTATTTATTGATATTCCAAATACGATTAAATTGTGATATGTTCTATTTCAGTAAACTGCTATGATAACCTGCTTGCCAGTCCTCTGCAACTGTCAGGGGCCACCAGTGCTCTCCAGAAGCCGCATGCCGACAAGCTGATTGGGTTTTAACACGCCGGCTTCACCCTAGGTGACAGAATTAATAAAGGGTTTATCTTCTGGGCAGTCGCAACTGTGTTTTCTCTCTACGGGGAGCTTTGTCCAATTACCGTACTGTAAACCAAGTGAATTTGAATAGCAAACCAGCCCCTGTCACGCTGGAACAGCTTCTAGACGTGTCCGTAGGATTTGAAAGGCAAAACCACGTGTACAGCAACTTTTACATAAAAAGTTAAACCTTCACTCAGATACTCGGCTGCCAAGCATAGCTGGGTGATGAATTGATAAAAGACGTGTGTGTACGAATACTAACGCAGCTCGTCGAAGTCAACCGTTACTATCAATCGATATCAATATCACTAGTAGATGGGAATAGGCAAGACTGTGTTGACGGCAAACACCAATTTGTAGAGGTAATTATTTCCAAATTTTACTTTTCATCAATCAGTTTATTGACAAATGGATTAGGACTACCTCTCTACTCGATAGAAACAGGAATTGTCCCGAATGAGGTAGGCATCAATTGTCGTCAGTGCTAGAGAAAGGCAGTTTGGCATTATACCATAAACACTCATGCATTTTCATCTAAGCCAATACGTCAATAAGTTCTTCTTAAATCTTCAGCAAGTCGATATCAACTAATATGTGCCCCTTTACGGCGCTGTGCGTGTCCCAGTCACAGAACAATTTGCACCATCACCAGTCAGAGTTCATAGTTTTGTTGCTCATACATGGGTCGTTTTACTATTGACGTTGACGAGGGTATTGAACTACTGATGCCCAGCCCCCAGTCCAGAAGGGCCAGTCGAGCCAGCAGGAGTACAGTGTTCCCCATAGACGCTCTAGAGACCGATGGGCACTGTAACTTTAACCTGACGACAAACTCCGGTAAGAGATGGGTATGCGTCAAGGTTCTCTCCCTTTGTCTGTTGTCAACCATCGGGTTAATCACCATCGTGTTCTTGGACTTTAACAGAAACCAAACAATGGCTGACAAGTCGCACCACGTCGCTAGGGCGCTGAACGCTTGTGATATTTTTTTGACGTTTGAGCGCAACGTCCACAGAGCCTTAAACATTCACGCTTGTGACGTTTTGATAGGTGACAGAAAGAATACTTCGTCGGAGTACTGCACAAATATCTCGGACCCGTCCAATGTCAAGATAGATGAAGTCAGCGATGGTTTGATTTCTAAGATTTTGTCGGAACGATTCTCTCAAAATGTGGTGGAATACTTAAATTACCTCATACAGCTAATCACTACCAGTCCCATGGACAATAGCAAGAAGAACAGCCCTGATATTGGTAACAATAACACCAACAGCCAAGGTACCTCTTTACAGGACATTTACAGTATATACAAGAATCTGACCAGTTACCTCAATCGCCTGTCTCCGTGTCTGGGATACGGTACCTTTAGGGACTCCTCCGGGGACGGGATTTGTAGCGCTGTCATTCACCCAACGTGCTCAGCTTACAGACACATCTTACTAACAGAGCAATACCTACAAAGGCAGCTTGTATTGGGAATGTTGATATTGCACGGTGACGTTGGCACGACTAAAATTCAAGAGATGTACCCAGAGTTTGTATCCATGGGGTATCTGATCAGGGAAAACTTGAGAGAGTTCTTTGCTCTTTTGCCAAGTACAAAACCATATTCAATAAACATGCTCAAGAGCAACCCGTGTTTGACAGCCATTGAAAAACAGACCGGAAATTGTTTCGGTGTTTCGATGACCGATGATTATTCCAATACTTCTGACCACGAGAAGAATGCCCGCGCTCTTCAGTGGTTAACGAATATGACCGACCTGATGACGGAGGTGGTCACCACGAGTCGGGATGTCCATCAAGTATTAATGGACACCATTGAGGCAGAGACGGATGCTCTACATCGGTCCATCGCCATCAAAATCATCGTGGCGTTCGTAACGATGAGCCTGTTTCCAATAGTTGTCTACCTCGTCAACCGCATGAGCCAGTGGATCTTCAACTACTCTCGCATGCTGCACGAAAAAACGATCGAACTAAACAAAGAAAAGAAAATGACAGACAACCTCTTGTATCAAATGCTCCCCAAAACCGTGGCAAACCAACTGAAACAAACGAAGCAAGTCGAGGCGGAACTGTTCGATTCTGTGACCATTTATTTTTCTGACATTGTGGGTTTCACGGAAATGTCGGCCATTTCGACACCAATGCAGGTGGTGGACATGTTGAACAGTTTGTACTCCACGTTCGACGCCCGTATTGACACCTACGACGTGTACAAGGTTGAGACCATTGGTGATGCCTACATGGTGGCAAGTGGGGTCCCTGACAGAAACGGAAATAAGGTAGGTACTCCCTCCTGTAAATTTGCCATAATATTATTCCATTTTCATATCTTATATATGTTTGTGTGTGTGTGTGTTATCATACGTGTGTGTGTGTGTTTGTGTGTGTGTGTTATTTAAAACACATCCAGGCCACGGTTTACAATATCTGTGTACACCTTTTTGCGAATCTTATTGATATTGTGTATATCGATGGGATAGTTCATTAACAAAAACATAAGAGAAAGGTCAACTGGATTTTCAATGTTTGACTTGATTATAATTTGGCACTTCGACTTTATTTGAATCGCTTAAGAAACTACAGTAGAGATCGTTTATACATGAATGTGCTACAGGAAATCTACTACAGTCGCTTCAAATTTAACTACCCACCAAACACAAAACTTTTTATAACGTTACCATAACGTTTTTTTAGTTATATAAACGTTATGGTAACGTTATATAATATCGTTAATGACGTTCTGTGTTGGCCAGCTATAAAAATAAATCAGATCACGTGGTTTTGCATCATTTGACTTGACTATGCATTATGACACTAACACCGCGTAAACTGAAATCTCGTGATCATTCTTGGAGACTAATAATGGTGAAAATAGTAAACAACACAGACGACATTCAGTAAATTACTTTGGTACACAAATCGACTTTTGTATTATACAGGGAATTTTACTGCCTACTGAACTCGATATTCGAAAGAAAAAAAATTGGGTTAAGTAATTCTCCAAAGCACGAGTAGGAAAACTTACACCACCTGCATCTGTCATATAAGTGAAAAGATCAGCGAGCGATCAATCCCTGTATCCGGGTTTTTGCCCTTTTTCATTTGTTCAAAGGAAATTAATTTCTACTATTGCGATACCGAAAACCGTTTCATCATCATCTAAGCGTTCACGTTGTTGACAAAGACAAGAAAACCAACTTATATTTTTAAAACTTCCGGACGATTCCTGCCTTAAGGAACACAGGAAGTCGAAGACACGAACTCATGTGCGGTTCACAGTGTGAATATGTAGTTGTTTTGATTCTCTCAAAAAGTCAGACAAAAAAAATATAGACCCTTGGTTCTCCACTCAGTCTGCCGTCTTCCCGTCCATTTTCACCAACAAATAAGAGAATGAAATAATAAAACAAGGTAACATATGTTTTGTATTTTGTCGATTATAGCCAGGAAAAGATCGCCTGTATGTATTTTCTATGCTACATGTACCAGCATTAATATCATATATAAGGAAGGATGTCCTTCTACTTACGTAGGCTTAAGTCGACACCATGCATTGCCAACAGGTTTCGTAAAAACCTTCATTATAACGACTTCCCTGTGCCAAAATTACCCTTCACAAGACATAATGCTGCTAAATCAATTATTTCTCATTTCGAAGTAATTTTGCTTTGATATCGCAGCGTAGCGAATAATTGAATCTAGAAGGCGTTTAGGTGTTTGTACAATGTATATCGCTTAATATCCTGTTTTATATACTTATCTCATAAAGAGTGATTAACAGTGACCTTTTTATGGCAATGCAGGCGAACCATATTCGGGGAAACGCTCCAAAGAATCTACATTTCCTGAGTTTTTTTTTTTTTTTTAGATATTTTTACTCTGTGTTATATTTGCAGTGAATAGCGTCGTTATGTCATCTCATTAAACGATTTCCGTTGTTTTTTTAATTCGAATTTAGCATGTTTAAGGAAAACAATCCTGGTGAATTTCTTCAAATTCTAAAAAATCCTCCGACTATAAATATCATAAGCGACTATATTAGAATGGATAAATACACGGCACAGAATATTCGAATTCATCACATACAAATCAATAATGAAGAGAGCAAAATTCAATGAATTTAAACTGCCCACCAAAGTTTAGAATACGTATATAAGTACACGACAGAATATTCGACATCAACACAGACACAAACCCATAGTGAACGGACTTTCAGATAAAAGGTATGATGGAAAATTAATAAAAGAATCGCTGGCCTTGAGGTACCACGGCTTATTACAATGCCAAATAAATTCCGTACATATGACATTACGTTTCAAATAACATATACGCTGCTAATAACAAATTTGTACAGGAAAGACCATTGTGCCAGCAAAAGCGAAACTTATTAATCCGCCTGCTAATAAATTGACATTTCCCATCGCGTAACTCATGTTATTGAAAAAAAAAAAACAGATGGGGAACTCTTTATTTCTATACAAAAAAGAACACATTTTTGCCTTTTTCTACTGTTAGAACGAATACGATTTCCAGCAAAAGACAACATTTGCCAATTTACCATTGTATCAAAAAAATCCATTCTTGAATGTCTGGATCCTGTTATGGCTTTTTTTGGGGGGGGAGAGAGGGTGCTTTTTTGTAACGATGTTTTGTACATTGTGTGTTACCTGGCTTTAAGATTTAATAAATACATAGATTAATGGTCCACCAAGTGTGTAGTGAATACAATTGAACAACAAATTTTCAATTATAATGAAATCAAACTGCATGTTAACAGCGATCAATTTTAAGTTATTGCTTAATAATCAAATTACAGAGGCTCGTATCCAGACCGCTTACGTTTTTAGGAACATGAGAGACAGATCTGGTTTCCACTAGATTGGAAATTTACCCAACCGGTCACAACTAGTTATTGCAGCCACGTTTTAATTTTGGTTTTATCAAGAAGAAAGTATGTTGATTCGCAACCCGAGTGGGCTATTCAGAGAGAGTTGATTTGTTACGTAAACTAGATGATCGATACAGGCTTTAGCTATAAGAACTAGAAAAACCTCGTTACAAAGTAAGCACGTGCACAGCAAGGAAGTGCCCCCCCCCCCACTTTGCTGTTTTCTGCCACTTAATACGAGTCGAATTTTTAAACATGTATCGTTCTGTCTGACATAACAGATGACAGATAGTGTAATGCCGAAAACTCAAGAGTTTACAAAAAAGGGAAAATCGTCTCCCAACAGAAGAAGTGATTTTCAGTGTGGGAAATTGCTACTAGATAAGTTATTTGCAGGCAGAGCATTAAAAGAGTCTGGTAAATGTTCCTAGAAAAAAACAATCCAGAAAATATTCATCCACAGCAGCCAACTCCTACTATACTAATAGTTTCGGCAATGACACATGTAAGAGCGCGCGTTCAGAACAGTGGACTAACGTATCTGCGGGTCAAATATGGCCGACCAACTTGAATACTTGTTGCGTAACACCCGCGATGAATCTGTTCAGTCTCTAAGCGGGAATTAAGCGGCAAGCTTTGAAGCGGGTCGCCATATTTGATCCGCGGATCTGTTAGTCCGCTGTTCTGAATACGCTCTCACTGGTTCAGAGTAGATAGACGGGCAAAAATGACATGTGTTTGCCTTTTCTGAACACACATGCATATGGCCTAATTAGGATTATTGCTTTAAATAACATCGATGAAGTATTTAAAACGATAGCAGCCGCTTTTGTGCATCGTTATAAGTTCATCATCAGTGCTTCACATCTGTACATAATTGATTGATGCATATTTATACTTGCAAACACCGGTAACTTCAACTGGATATTGTCAACTTGTGCCAGAAAATTTATCGAATTAATAGAATTGTAATCAGAAACAAGTGATCGATTAGTTAAGTAACAAAGTGCGCTGTAAGGTATGAATAATTGGATGAATTTGACGTCACTGCAAAAGGACATAAAAAGAATGAGTGGATGGATGGGTGAATAGATGGATTAAAGAACGAATGAATAAAGGGCCGAAAGAATGAAGGAAGGAAGGAAGGAAGGAAGGAAGGAAGGAAGGAAAAAACAGGATTGATGGACGGGTGTAACAAATGTTTGGTTTGGCTGGATAAATGAGTGGTACATGTACCTCATATGCTACACGTATGGAAAAGACGGAAATTGTTTTCAAGATAAAATAAAAAATAGTGATGTTTTGTAGCAATCGGCATTGAAAAGTATTGAAATCCATTTCTCTGCTTGACAGCAAACCTTTCTTCTTTGAATTTTATCTCTGTAGTGCAAGTGAACCAAACCGAAAAATCTAATTTATGACTAAAGTCTAGACGAGCCACTGAAGAAGATCACTATTTCTTATCTAATCAGTTCATACTGCTAAGTCTCATTTGTCCCTGGAAGCAATATCTGCGACAATTGACTTGGCTGTAATCCCAATATAGTGCGCTTAGATAAGAAATGAAGACTGATCTTAATACAAGGAATAAATACGTTACCGAGTCATTTCCTCTCGCCTTATTGATGTAGTCTGGGGAAATGACATAACGCGTAATACGAAGTGTCTGATAAATACAAAGACTGACATCATTTGTATGCTTAACAACAGATGTGTAATTGAGAGTTGTGTCAGATAGAATTTACCACGGGCTTAAGATCATTTTCTGCTCTTTCCTTTTTTCTTTTCGTCGATCACATTCTCCTTGCTTTCTTTCTGAAGATGTTGATGGGGTCACTAGAAGGTGACCTTTGCACGAGAGTGCCAATTTCGCGCGGTATTTGTTTCAATCAATCTGTAATACCCATTGACGATTTATCGGACATGCCCCATTACAATGGAGGAGAAAAGAAAATTGAAGGATCTGTTCGCCTTAGTAAATCAAAGATGTTTCAATGAAAATGACATAAACTCTTATGAATGTGCCCGGCATGTCACGAAAAGATCAATATAGCTGTCGGTCTTGGCGTTATACTGTCCAAATTGGTCAAGATTTTCTTTTGAATTTTTTTTTCATAATTTGTACATATATTATAGCGGAGATCTGAAAGGCAGCACCATTAGAGGAGTCTGCTATATACATGTACGTCTAAATATCAAATTGCATTAGAATCCATTTTTAGCTATTATTTTCCGAAAAGAAAGACGAGTATCAAGAAGACAAACAGCCATTCTATAACTCTCTCTCTCTCTCTCTCTCTCTCTCTCGACTATAGTATCAGGGAAATACACGATATTAATGCTGCCGTAATGAAGATCTAAATGACACCTCAATCGCCCCTTGCGAGTTATTAACTACGGTCCGCTGCGACAAGAGAACAACATTACATTTAATTTGACCATGCCTGATGTGCGTCAATACTGTAATTTTGATTTACAGATACCTGCCTAAGGATTCCAGTATTTTTAGTATAGAGGTGGCAAAAGCGGATGAGGAAAAAAAAACAATTAAGAGAAACTGAAGAACATTGGGGTGTTGAAATTTGAGACGGAACTGTGCATGTACGTGGGATTCCAAAATACAGATGTGCCAAAGATCTGTCTATCTGTTCCGTACTATAACAGCTATGGCACTTCATTTAATTTTATATTGTTGCAACACATGGACAGAAAGTAATTTTCCAAAGTTACTACTGGAGTGAGCATATCACAATTCCAAATGAACTTGTAGGCGGACACATATCAGCCTATGGCGATATAAAAGAACCCTAAAGACTTATTGAACACCCAATTAGTGGCAGGGAAATTGCGCCTTGTGGTAAAATTGTGGTCTCCAACGCCTTTTCAGTTAAAAAATCGTTTTCCTTTTTTCCATCTTGTAAGTGACTCTATTGTCTATGAGTAAGGAGTTTTGTAATGCATTCGGATTATTTTAGTTGTATCGTAGAGTGATCTGAAATTCTAGAAACGGACGGAGACTTGGCGTGGAAAGTTATCGCAATGATTTTCACTCAGACCGAACGAAATCTAAAGGTAAAATAATCCACATGACACCTTTCAATTGAACAATATATAAAGACACAATGGGACATAATAACAATGACGGTATTGGCGATAAGTGTCACTCTTAATGGTGATAATGGGTCTTTTAGGTATGTCACCTAAATACAATTACGTGTTAATTGAACAAGAAACAACGCTTTTATTGAAGTTACACATGAAGCGAACACAGATTTCCTGTAACGCATGTAAATTACTGCTACCAGTTTATTTGAGTCACATGCCAGAGAATAAAACGAATTAATCACTAGTTAAGCCAAAAACGTTTTAAAACAGCACCTTTTTCAAATATCTGGTCGAAAATCTGATCTAATTATCCGTCTCTCCAGTGGTTAAAGTCTGCCATGTGATGTATTTGCGAAAACAACCCGGGGTTATAGTAGCACAGAACTAAAGCAGAAATATCTGTTATAAACCCTTTTTAGAGAATAATAAGGCCATACCCCTTGGCATTTCTTAAGGTTATGTTATTTGAAACTAAATGGTGGCATTTGATCGGGTTTAGTGGCAAGAATTTTATGTGAACTCGCTTCAAATGCAACTTTAAACTAATACCTCAAAGTCGGCAATTTTAGCCGTCTAAGCTAGGCCACGGTCTACCAGCCTACGGGATAGGATAAGATAGGAAGCTAAGCCTCTAGGTTTAGACTTTGTTTGAAACTTGCATGTATACGCTAAAAACACACTGCAGCAAAGTGGTAGAACACGGGATGATGGATTGTCTTGCCGTTGCGTGGAACGAAACGTTAAATACCAAGAAGACCCTGGTAATTTACCAAGAAGAGTTCCAAACGCTCAAGACACCAATTTACGCCCTCAGTGGCCCTTCATCCTGTTTAGTATTACTTCCGTGAAATTCAATTCACATATTAATGTGACTCTATTTGCTAATCAGCGTCCCATCTGAGTCGAACATTTTTCAAAAAGTACACTCCTTAACCAAGCATGTCGAATTGACTGCTTCTAGGAAGTCTGTCAAGTGTGTTATGCTACATTGTATAAATGTTCATTGGAGCTATTAAATAGTGATCGAGTGTGTGGTATTCGTGTATATTTAATGATGTGGTACGCGCTTTTATTAACCCATTTACAGCTATTTTTTTGGCGAGCGCGAAGATGGTAATGTTTCAAGTTGTTCGTGGACACATGCACTTACTAATACACAAACATTCGACTCGCCTTTGTTTAGCAAAAGGACCTAATTACTTTGAATTTCTGATCCGATAATTCTTGTCTTGTTTTCGATTAAGACAGGAAGCGTTTTGTATCCCAAGGCAGCTCTCATCCGTCACTAAGCACATTAGGCTCATCAAACAGACACAACATTACGTGTATATGAGGAAAATGCACGTTGTTTTAAACAATGGGAACACGGGTGGTTTAATTTCTTAAGAACCTGGAACAAACACGATAAAGCCAACTCAGGAATTTAGAAATAGTCAAATCCATGCAAGCTCCGTCAATATTTACCAATTATACCCAAGTTTTTAGTTGAATGAGTGATCGAATCGATCATAAGATGAATAGATCAATTACCAAAATTAATACAAACAACAAGATCAAGACAAGCCCTCTGGGGTAGCTATACATCATCCTGAATGCCTTATCATCATGTGCATCTTATACTCTATATCTAAACCATGGTAAAGTATATTATTTCATATATGTATCCGTTTATTAAGTACAGATCAATACATTGTACTGCTTCTACTTATAGGTGGATTTTTATTACTTCCAAGCGAGTAAGTGGCCGTTTACGATAGTCAAAAATATGTGTCATGTTTACCGGAATATTGCTTCAAGGACAAACTGTATTGAAAAGTAACTGCAGACACAACAGGCATCACACGTTGTTTCAACGTTGACTTTTGGTCGCGACGTCGACTACAAAAAAGTTCACTACTGTATGTTACAATATATGTTCCCGTACATGTATATACTGTAGTGTACTTGTATATATTTTAAGTATGCGTGAGCCAATTAATATTGTACATAGTCAAATAATATACTTAGATTATATACTCAAGTTAATGAGTCAAGTTAATATTTATACGTCTAAATATCCTATTATTCTTGGGTTTTAGCATGCGGAGGAGATAGCCACAATGGCCATAGATTTGGTAGCCGCCGTAAAGCAAGTGAGCATACCGCACGCTCCGAGCGAACAGCTGAAACTTCGTATAGGCATACACACCGGTTAGTATTTCTCAATCATACATCAGCTCCTTTCCCAATTCTAATTACACCATGTGAGTTCTTACTAAATAATATAGGCAAACTGTCCTCACAATATTATCTTTAATATTTTTAAACACTACACCATACAGAATTGCTTCCGATTTATCCCATTCGATGATTGGGTGGTAAGGGTTACGGACAATTTTAGCCAATGTGTTTTGAATTCTACACTTTTTGTCACGTTTTACATTATATAGGCTTATATACTAACCCCCAGAAATAATATTTAGAATATGCTGTTATAAGATATATTACTAGTAAATGACAAAATTAAGATGCTGTTCAGAATAAGTTAGGTCGCGCCAGCTAGGTAAATCCCCGAGGACTCTCGCTGAATGCAATCAGTTTAACACACCTACTCTTCTTTTCAACATACGCTTAATAACCCGTTTCTCTTAATTTTATTCGAAAAGGCATGTGAGTCTGATTACATTCAGCGAGAGTCCACGCGGACTTAGTGCGTACATGTAGTAGTTAGTGCGACCTTACCCATTCTCAACGGTCCCCAGGACACTTTTAAGAATGTTTATGTTTATTTCAACGAAATCCTCAAACCCCACTGTTGTTCAGAAGAATAGATTCTTATCTACCCTAAGTTTTTTTTTTAGCCGAAAGTACATGAATGTACTTTCCAGTTGGTGAGGATCAATAAAACATATTGGCATCCGGACGTTACTAGATATATTGGCTTGTTTTTTCAAGAAACGCTGTAGTTACCCTGAGTGGGGAGCTCTGGGTATCTCAGCTGCTGATTCCATCTTTTGTTATGAGATTATTTTTCTACGACCCCCTTCCGTTACTGATCAAATAGCCATTTGGTACGACTCCTGACGTAAGGACTAAATACAGTAGGGAACACATGTATGTTTTCATCGTCTGTCTGCTTGTGGGCAAAATATTTCAAAACGTTCCTCACACGTACTGATTATTTTTTGGGGGAAAGGAAAATCGACGAAATCAAACTCTGACTTTATTTGTGTAACCCACCTGGGGCGGTTTTTACACTGTACATGTTGTAGTGTTTATTCAGGTCAATTCACGTTGTTTCTAGTCGTTTTCTGGAGAAAGAACGACTTTTCGTTTTAAAGGGTCAGATCTAAAAAATCTCGCTCTGTCACAGACTGAGAATCGCAGCTTGGTTACAAAGTAATCATTTGATTAATTTCCTTGAGTATAATGATACCTACTGTATTTCTGTTAAGGATGTTGTCTATGAAATCAATTTCGATGGATCATAGAAATAGCACGGTTCTCGTAGATACACGCGTTACGAATTAACGTTATTGCAAACGCTTTGATAAACGTAAATTAAGTCCAGGCAGTTAATGTTTCTCCTCAGTCCACTTGGTTATTAGCTTCTGAAGCATGAGCCAGATGCTGTTAAAAGTACAGTATTTCATTAACTCAAAGACTGATTCACGAGCTTGAAACATCATGTTCTGTAAAACGCCGTTTTGTAAACCAACACAAAAACATTAACGTTTTGCCATAATTTTAAGTTCTGACTGATAGGTGAATGTTAAGCAAAGCGGATATAGGCCCAAAATTGGACTAACGTTAAGAAACAAATAGGTCTACTTAGCTAAAACTTTTTTGTGAAACGAAACCCGTGTTCGCTATTGCATATATATTTTTTGATTCTGTTAATGAGAGAGATGAGAGAGAGAGAGAGATATGTTATCTTTGCTTGTCAGAAATCTCATATTTAAGCTTTGAACAACATAAGCTGCTTTCGACAGTGTGCGTAGTTCTATATGTGACAGGAAACAAAGAATTCCTTTGAATCATACTTTCTAAGGACACTTCTCTTCTTTGAAATAAATTTGAGGTTACTGTTAAAAACGATTCCAGATAAGCACTGCTATCATGAAGTTTACCATGTACATGTTCTACCCGGCTTTGTATTCAGACCATCAAATACAATTAGGACTTGGGTCTGGGCGTCTGGATGACTCATTTTAAGTTTTCCTTGAACTACGGAAGTTGTATCGACAATTAAATCAAACAAGTTTCCGATATTCCACGAAAATGTTGCCTCGGATTATAACCCGTATTTCATCTGATTTTACTAAACGTATCTTCTCAATTAAACTTTGTTAAAATCAATCAATTCGTTACGTTAATTGAAATACTCTCTCTGTCTTTCTCTCTCTCTCTCTCTCTCTGTGTGTGTGTGTGTGTGTGTTTAGAACTAAAAGCTGTCATGAATCATGAAAGTCTAATTTAAAGTAATGATTAAATGTCACATTGATAGTGTCACTACCTTCTCATTTCTCAAAATACTTTTTCTATTTACGTATAGATGGCAGCATATATGGCATTATATGGGAATAATATTAATCATCTTAGTATTATTTTAAGAATTAATCATTTTAGTGTCCGGCCCTTGCAGGACCCTGGGGATGGATTTTCATTTAAAAAATAAAAAGTAATGGTTAATACCGTTTTGGAGGATTTATATAATATACGGACTGTACGTTCTCGGACACATTCTATTGAAACTACGCCTTTTTTCATCGTGGACCTTCAGCTTCTGAAACTGTGGGTGACGCTCTTTCAGTCGCACCGAAATCTCCTTCTGGTCATAGCGGAACAAACAATACTGGCAGTGCGTGTGGCTTTGTACAAATTGTAAGTATCAGCACTATATTAGCATTTTCATTTTTTAATTTTTCTTGTTACAGGCCCTTGTGTAGCTGGTGTAGTCGGGAGTAAAATGCCTCGCTACTGCCTTTTCGGTGACACAGTGAATACGGCATCCAGAATGGAATCACATGGGCTCCGTAAGTACAGTACATTTATCTTTAGCATAGCCAGGGTCATTTTCTACTCCTTCCTTCTCTTCCTCCTCTCCGCACATTTAATTCTATAAAGATGTTATATATACTATTTATATAAAGATATTATTTTCTAAGCGAATCATTACATTTCCTGTGAGAGGGTGCAAGGCGAAAATATAATACAACATGTTTTTTAATCAGAGAAGAACTATTATCTGTCCCTGTGTCTACAGGCACCTTTCAGCCAGTGTGACGAAACTGAGGGTCCGTGTAACAGAAAGTCCACCTCCATTTAATTATACAGGTTAGGGTTAGCCTGACCTAGGTGGGTCAAATCTTGGGCGAGGCTTACATATGCAAATACTGGGAAATGGGAACCGGACTATCATGGGGGCAGGGGTGACTCTTTGTGACGTCACATCGCCATTTGTCTCCTCTCTGCTGTATCTATATACAAGTTTGGCGCCCCCCCCCCCTCCTTTCTTGTTAAGATTCACGAATAAGTTTAAATGATCTGTATCAATTCGTTTGCTAAAGTTGAAACTTCAGTATTCTTTACCCTTTCCCTTCCTCCATGTAGCTATGAAGATTCATGCCAGCGCAAAGACAGTGGAGACACTGGAACTCACCGGACGCTATGACATCGAAAGACGCGGGGAGATAGAGATTAAGGTAGACTTGTGTAAACGAGTTCCCCTTGAAGTCTGCCTAGTAAAGTGGACGTTAAGATTATGCACTGGAGAGAGAAATCAGAAAAGCAAACTATGCCTTAATTGGTATTGTTTTTACAATAATATGTTAACGCACAAGTCAAGCCCGGTTAATCTTAATTATTATTATTATTATTATTATTATTATTATTATTATTATTATTATTATTATTAAATAAATAATGGTACATTTTAGTACGGTACTTGATGGCTAGTAAAAGCATCCAACAATATCTGTGTATGTTTTTGCTTTAGGGAAAAGGTAAAATGGTTACTTTCTGGTTGAACGGGCGCAAGGATATGGCAGAAGCTAATAACAGTATGGTGTGTAAATGGGCACCGAAGAAACGACGTACTACCTCAAGTTTAAAAACCCGCAGTGAGCACTCCACAGTATCTGTGGCGTCATCGGCGGTGTCTCTTTCGGCATATTCCGTCGATCTTCCCGGAAGTCCCGGCCTTGCACGGAGTCATCTGGGTAGAGGTAGCGTCAAAGGTGGCAGCCTAAAGTCACCCATCAAACGCTCTGCATTTCACATGAAAAACTGGAGTTTTAGAAGCTCACGAAACGGGGTCACCGAGCAAGACACGCAAATGCTGGTGGTTCCAGATGTTGACTCTAATGACGTGGTAGAAGACGATTCCCCAGCCAAAAACCCTGTTCAACAGATGCCACAAGAAAACGTTAGGAGCAAGACTAAAATAATGTTAGTTTCTCCAGAGGCTGGTCGACCGGGATCGTCTGTTTCTGCGCCATCCTCACCGAGTAAGCACGAGAAGAATTGCAGAAATATGATACGAGCAACTCATGGTACCGGTAACATTGTTTTTCCCGGAGAGCTAACGAAAGGCGAAAAGGGTGGTATATTTAACGAGAATCAAAGCGTCAACTCCCATTTAATGGTTCCTTCTTATGGAATCACCCCTTTTAATGGAGCTTTAAATATGCTTGACGTTAAACTGCTAGATCAGCTGCGCAGGCGCAGTAGCAGCACGCCTTTGATCTGTAACCATGCTTACTCACACGATCACGTGGTTCAGAATGGTGGCAACTTCACAAACCTGAATAATTCCAAGAACCGCAATTTTCAGGAATTTCAGTCGTTCTCATCGAACGTTGGAGTAGACCGAAACCTAAAATCCTTTTCAAAGAGTCTAGAGTCTCTACGGGAGAAGAAATTACACTTGTTGAACTCTGTACAATCAGATGAAAAAGTTTAGTGGCTTTGTGCCTCGGTGGGAAAACGTTTCATATATATCCAATGACAGATGAAATAAATGGAAATGAAGCGGTGAGTGTTAAAACTAAACAGAATGGCATCTGATTGTAGTTTTAACTTAAAAAACAATTTATAAACAAACGTGATTCACTCAGAGGATTCAAATTATCGAGTATGAAGCAATAATTACGAACATTTAATAAAGATACTTTAAGACTGTAAAATTGCTGTAGGTAGTAAGTCTCGTGTTCACATTGGAAGTTGGATCAAACAAACTGAAGGCAAAGGTTGAGAATGTTTGATATGCTTCTCTATGTCACTGAAGAGAATGTATTCGGGTTAGTCAAAAAGTCACATAGACATTGCAGACTTTAGAAGAAAATCAAAAATAAATGAGCAAATTTGATGAATTTGAAATGTAAAATGTATAACTAAAGCTAGATCTTTGAATCATATGTTTAAGTTTGATTTTCGGTCAATGGAGATGGCAAAAAAAGGATGTGACGGGAATAGGGCCAGTACTTCTTGGAATGGATAACTGGTGTCTCGTATGATCAGTACAGTTTTTAAAAAAGTAAGTCTGTTTCATCAGTTTCGTAGATGATAGAGATCTATAGAGGTTTTGATCTCCATTGGTACAGTTTATGGGTAGCCAGAAATGTCGGGAGCAGTATATGGGGCGAATGTCATCTGGAAAACTGTTTTTCGCAAACTGCCAGTGTCACCCGCCTCTGTATGTTAGAGGTTAAATGCAGGCATAAAGGCCCCATTCCCCGCCATGTTTGTGTATGAATTAAACACACTTCAACGTTCAGAATAAATTGATATTACTTTCACTTTGATATAGCATATTAGCACTTGTGGTTCTATCGGTACTGAAAACGGAAATGCACGCCCAACAATGTTACCGTCATACAAAGATACTTTTCTCAATCATTGTGTTTCTTCAGACATTTCTATTCACTGTGATTTTCCACGCACATCTGTCGCAATCCCACAAAATGGAGAGAGCTATTTATTAAGGTCTAAGCCGAAGTGTTGTTGCTCAAATGAATGCCAATATTGGGCTTGTTTAAAGTAAGTATACTTATTCTTGGTGTTTAAACTCCAACGTTCATCAAAATAATATTTTATATTTACGTAAGACATACCAAATGTTGTTTTAATATTATTATCAACTTGCTGGATTTCAATGCCTGCTCGACGTATCCAATACGTGCATGGAGTGATGATGCTTGGTACAGTAGGTACAGGCGAACAAGAGGATAAAAGGGCTTTTTTTCCAGTTTCCATTTTTTCACCATGAAATTATAATGTAGTAGTCTACTCATATGCACATAACCTTTAAACACCGTTTTTTTTTTCAAGCCAAATGGCTGCCTCCTCTTTCTTTAATAAATCAACATTTGTTTCAAACATAAATCGTAATCTCTGATAATGACTGCTTGTATCGTATGACAGACGAACGAGGACCCCAACACACATGCAAGGGTCATTAGCGTCTGTATCGTGTCACGAACTTTCTTATTAATAGTCGTAAAACGTTTCGTGTCAGAGGCCTAACAAAGAGTCTAACAGAAAAGCGACAAAGACTGTGGGTTGTCTTTCACTGACGTTATGTCTTTCACTTCAGATAAAAATAAGAACAAATTACGTTATTTTATCACGACGATCGACTCATTATTGTCAATTACCGCCAAGCAATTATATTGTTTAATTTACGTCATCACGAGAATTATCGATTATTTCGTGTACAAAATCACATTGTTTATTCGTGTACAAAATGACATTATATAAAACTTGTCTACGGAGACTGTTTTATAAAATTCGAGAAAAGCCAAGAAGCTTGTGAATTCAAACACGGATAACCTTATCTAGAGCGTTTTGCACAAATGTTGACAAGTGAACAGTGTAAAAATTAACAAAGATTATGCTCGAAGAAGGCGCCTAAGCCGAAAATTTGAACGTTTGCATTTATTTGTATTAGTTGAGCTTATGGGGGGGGGGTGTATGTGGATGTTAGTTAGACTAATTTTAAACTTAAAATATTAACATGGCCGTCATGACAAATCTTCATTGTCAGCCTAGTTACGAGGCGAGGACTTTAATGCCAGTAGTCTACATGTACTTAGCACAATAGACCAACCTTGGTGGATTGGTATGCAACCGGTTGACAAGATGTCACATTATCACATCACCGCTTATTCTGTCACGTGGACCACGTTAGCGGGAAAATAAATTTCCCGCGCTATTTCATTTCTGGGTCATTCTTCAGTCATTTGTCACTCATCAGATGTATAACGTATGTGCAGATGTACTTCTACTGTGAGAATAAAGAAATTGATCAATTTACAGTATAAATCTACGTGTCACTCTATACTCGGCTACTTATGCGCATGGCAGATTATAACTCTTTTACCTACTCATACGATAGAAGTGTTAACCGTAGACATTACAATTATTATTATTATCTTAATTATGTGCAAAATCAATGTTTACTATCTTTTTGTTTGACCAAAGCGCTCATCTCCTTCCCCCCCCCCCCAAAAAAAAAAACCCTATGCTGTATATTGTAGAAACATGACATGAAGGAAATTGTCCGGAACTTCCCCTATTGGTTTCTGTAATGTAGTCGAACTTCATAAGTAAATTGTACAGGGTACTTCAACTACACATTCAGCATGCTATTTGATTGCATGAAAATATTACCTAGCAGTTTTATTTAAAATCGGCTTTTACTATTCGTGAAGCTTGCCTTCTGTATACCAGTACATGCAATGGGCACACAACGCATTTTCTTTCTCTCAAAGCAACAGTATTTGTTATGCGTCATTTTCTCTGCTTGGCGTGTCTGGCGACCAATGAGCTATAGAGCTCATTGGGAGTCAAAAATGTACTTAAGCTATGGTGTCAAGTCCACTTTGTTCATTTAAAGGGAAATTTAAGATGCGTTGCCAAATCTATTTCAGATAAACGGCGACTTTCATTAAATGTTTTATTTTTCTGCTCATTCCTTCTATTAAATTTGCGCAGAATTAAGTAAATCTATGTCATCGAAATAAACCTTTTCCTAATATTTTGCTTTTTCTTTCCTGTCAAAGTGTATAATTTTATTAATCATTTTTAGATCTGTAGAGGCGGGGTACGTCAGGAAGGATTACAGGGTTTTAAACTGGACTTAGCATCTATAGCAAATTTTCCTTTGGATTAACATCTCGGATTTGAAATTACAGTCTTCATTCAGCCGTGCATAGATGAAGGGTAGTGGTAAATAAACCATGAAAATAACATCGAAAATTCCTGGCCATCATACGCGTAACTGGTATATACCGGTAAAACCAATTGGCTGTCAGTGTGTTTTAAATGTGCTTTGAATAAATTTCATATATTGCATCCTGCTTTAATGTTGATTTAGGTGAAACCGAATCTTTATTTCCGCCTTACATTGCGTAGAAATGTTTATATTTGGCATACACTGTGTTTGCCACTTGCTGCTTGTAATAGCATGCTCCCTAAAACAAGGGCCAGACCGAGCAGAACCAACAAGTTGGGTCGCTTCTCTTAGGGACGCTTTGTTTCGACAACAGCACCGTTGATCAATAACCAATACGGTATCGATTATTGAGTTTGATATTTGAGGTTATGATGGAATTGAAGCCATTACTGTTGTTTCTGACAGCCGCGTGTATTGGGAGAGCAAGCGCTGGAGGTAAACATATCTATAGAATTTTAATGATCCTTAATGAGAGTGAGACCTTTTTTGATAATTCAGTAAGCTAAATAGGAGTATTCGGGCGTTTTTAAAAAACAGCCCTCTGCATAAATTGTGTACAACATGTTGCTACTTATGTTAGCGAATGGCATTTCTTGAAACAGTTTCAGTTGGTTTCAAACGTTGCTTCTATTGGGAATAATGTTGCAGGCAAGAATATTGTGAGCAAACTGAAGTAATGCGATTGACTTAATTAGGCCACATTATATCAAGATTTACTTTACATTTATTACAATATTGTTTATTATGAGTCAACCTTCTCCTTTCCCTTTTCCTACCCGATGCGTCTGGCAGCCGCTGATTGCAAGAACGACGAGTATTTCACCGGGTACAACTGTCTTCAAACGCAGTTCACTATCAACCCAGTCACTTGCCCAATAGACGAGTCCAAACCACCTCCGGACTATGTCCCCACGTGCCAAAATGGCGGGAATAATTTCTGGTACATCCACGTTGGCGGGAAACGCACTGACTGGAAACGTGGAACGGACGCCTTGTGTTTGTCTATAAGATCTCGACCTGTTCCATGGGGGTTAGAAGGATGCCAGTTTCGCTGGAATAGGGAGGGGTGCGAGCGGCTGTTGGAATGGGCCGGTTGTGTGCACAGCGAAGCTGAGGTGCCTGAACCGCTCTTATCCGGACATTAAACTGATCTGAATTGCAGCAATGACTTGATAAAACGGGTCATTTGATTGGATTTTGCATCAACGGTTAAGATCTAGATAGTCAAGTTGCTGAACAGTACACGTGGTTATTGTAAAACCCCTTTTGAAAGTACATGTCAGATCATTATCATTAGCTCTGTATGCATGTAGTTACTGTAAAACGTGAATATTGTAGTAAAATATTCCCCTTATCAAGATCTACTTGTGTGAGGAATTGTAAGGCATCGCCTCCAATATTTGTACAACATTAAAACATAATACTTAAGACCGTGTTTTTATTTTACTCTATAATACAGACAATATGTCGATGCGTCCGTCTGACACCTTGTATTCACCTTACAGCTGCAAGATCGTAGTTTTATTTCCTTTAATTTTGCTGAGCGGTTAGGTTTGGTAAAACTTTTTTTCGAAAATCAGCACTTTTGGGGTTATTTCTACGAAAGTTGTTATCATTTTTATTATTTTGGAAAAATGTGTTGCAATTTTTTTCTGTTTGGTGTCTGGTTGTTTGTCAGCTTAACTGTCAAGATCACATTGTCTCCAACTCAGCAGTTGCATCACTCCATGTTAAAACACCTATAGGGTCAAAGATTATTTTAGTCCATTTCAAGTGTCATTTCGTATGGTGATGCAATGAGTACCAGATTATCTGGTATTTTAATGGCTTAAAGTAAACAAATACAAATTTTAGAAATTATTTTTAACGAAAATTTCATTGAACATTCAAGAATTTGAACCCGAGTACACATGTCTAGACGTGCCCAAGACAGCGGAGTTACCACTGGAACCGCAAAAGCTTCGTTTGTAAGATTCAGATCAAATGGAAACTTTCTACATGTACCTTCTCATGGACCCTCCTGACCCCTCCCTCCCGCCCCGCTAATTCTGCCACTGATGTATTTGTGTGTGCTGATCTTATTGTTAGTAAAGACAAGCAACAGTAGCATTAGGCTGTTCTTGATAAGATTACCCGTAGGATCCTTTATCTATTTTCTTTTTGAAGTGCACCGATACAAAACCGATTGCTTTTAACTTTCTTCTTAAATATCTATTTATTCATTTGTCATGCCATTTTCTGCGTAAAACGGTTTAATGGGTGAGGTCATAAAAACGTACTGGATGCTTTAAAGAGATTTTTTTTTATTTTGTTTTGTATTTAAAAAAAATGAGTGGGAAACTATTTTAAACAAAACCAGCTGTGTTCAATACGAATTTTCATCCCAAGGTCGTGGTTTGCGTTAAAGAGTGAAATATATTTAGTCACACTTAACTGCCTCAGACTCTGACATTCTTGACAAAGGGACGGGGTCCTCCATCCATTTCAAAATCCTGCTCACACTTACAATATACACATTTCTTAAGCGACATATTTCTCCTATAAAATCCTCCATTGCTTGAAAGTGGTACGGCCAGGCCGGGTGAAACCAGGCAGCGTGCATATTGATACCAAATGGTGCCTTGCTTGGAGAGTTATAATGACGGAGGAAATTATACTTTAAATAAAGATAGGTGGCGTTGTAACTGCCAGGATGGCACCCATCCAACATTGATACTGCACCATCTGGCGCATGAGGGCAGTAAAAATATGGATTCATGGGTACCTCCCACACAGAGGGATACGCTTCTGTTGGTGTTCCAGGCTCAAAAAAATACCTTCGGGGAGGTTTACCGGTCAGTTTGAACGGCCAAAGCGGCTCTTCTTGATTCGACGAAAAAGCCGGTACCATTGACGCGTCATACGTATAATTAAACCTCTCAAGTAATGAAAATTGCTTGTTGCCGCCCAGCACCAAAAAAGGTGACCTCATTCCGACGATTTCATCCTCTTTGATGCCGATTTTGTCAGAGATGAGTTCTCTCATTCCTTGGATCTCGTATTCCCACATCTCTCCGTCCCAGAATTTGGGGTTGGTGTGTAGAATGCTATGGCTGGCTATCTCATGTCCTTGCCGATGGAGGCGACGAACCAGTTCATAGCTACAGTTAAGAAAAAGAGACATATAGGCCTATTTTAGAATACAAGGCGTATATATAATCGTTTAAAGCTTACTTTAATTTTTTCTTGAGACAACACCAATGCTTTCGAATATTTACAACTGCATTTCCTAGTAGAACTACCCTTATGGAATGGAATGTGAGGGGGGAGCGTCTCGATAATCCGGAGGTCCGAAAATCGTATGCACGAGCCTCTGCTGAACTTTGCGTTATTACCAGTACCCTTTTACACTTTATTCGTGCATTAATTTGGAATATGGACCCTTCGGACCAATGGTCCGTCGGACTATATTGCTACTGTACGGCCCTAATGGAATGTGTTGGATATCCATTTCATTTAAAGTGAAGCTTTTTACCATCCTTGAGATGTTAAGGAATGTTAAAAGAACCCTTTAGTAGTCTCTTCATGTAGACCCCTATACAAAAATCGAAGCTTATGGCATGGTGGGGGCGACTTTGGCACTTACTTTGTACTCTCATTGCATAGATTGAAGCTGACAGTGGTGGGACAACCGTTAGGGTTTACGAAACGCCCTGCAAACAGGTTGGAGTACAAATTGTAATTCATTCGGTTGACGGCATCATCGAAAGAAAAGTAGACAAACTGAGGTATCTCGTCTCTAGACAGGTTTCCTGGTATTACATTTGTTACCACACCTAGAACGGGACGTATTACAACGATATAGAGATTTATAAATATGAAAAAATTGATTTAAATGTATATTGATCTATAGAATGAACGCTTGTCTCTCGGATACTAACACCTACTATACAAACAAGATGCCAAATATACGGAATCGTCTGCAAGTAACCAACAATATATCCTTCCACCTAATTCATTTATACCATCTTTCAATTCAGAAATTACTTGTAATCCCACTTTCTAGATTAATTCAAGAAAGAAAATTATGAATTCGGGCACGATCAACAGCTAATTGATTAGATTATTTGCCTTAGTGCACTGACAAAACGTCTTGTTAGGACCACGTGTTATGACGTCACTTACTTGGTCCGGGCGTGGTAGAGGGTCCAGTGCTTATGGTCACGTTGGGGTCATCAGTCACTGAAATATGAAATAGAAAATGTTAAACGCACTAAAAATGTCTTAGTTAACACTGTAAGATTTATGAAATTTAAATGATAAACGTGCTAAATAATGACCAACCAAAACGCTAGGTTGAGATTGTGCGTGGTCATATATGTATGCAACTTCTATTTACAGGTACGTATAGCTTGGTCTCTTACTGTGTATCTACTCTAACAATGAGATGCATGCCATTGTACCATTAGTTTTTTACAGTCACGTCTTGAATATGTCTACATGCAACATGGTGCGACCCTTCAGACTTCAACACATCAAATGATTGTGATTAAATGCAGTCGTTTTTTTTTAGAAGTAAACGCAATGCATGTGACTCCGATTAAAAAACTTACAATGATTAATAGGAGCATTCAGATCACTTTATCCTATGTTGCCAATAGAGATCACATTGGGATAAGATTTTTAATCACCCCAATAACTCCATATGAAACGGGTCCTCTTTGGGCTCATTCCCAATATACCGGTAACTATAGTTCTAAGTATATCGATCCAACTCAACTGGGACTCTCGCTGAATGCAATCGGTTTAACAGATTAACACACCTCCTCGTGGTATTGAGAAGAATACAGAAAGCCCGTTATAATACGAGTACGATGCAAACAAGAGTAGGAGTGTTAATCTGTTAAACTAATTACATTCAGCAAAAGTACCAGCGGAGTTGGATCGATCTAAGTAGAAAGACAGTTTCATTGGAAATGAGCCATTAGTGTTAATCACAGAAGAGGAGAGTCAGTTACTATGGGAAAGTTAACCTCTACCCAAAAGGTATTTACATTTAGTCGACTGTATTGAAAGTTGAATTAGAAATTAGTTGTATGCCCATACATATATAATGCACTTTTAAACGTACTTTAAAAAATTGCCCTTAGTTGAAAGTGAGCGTTTACAAGTTCTCAGTGATAGCACATCTATCAATTAAACCTCTGGTTCAATACGCGCCGAACGCAAAAGACGATAAGTATCTTTTTACGTCACGCGTCTTAAAGACATTCGTCTTTTTCAAGTGAGGATTCAATCTAAATATCAAGCCAAACTAAAACAAAATCCGTACGTAAATTGGGCAAAACAATCGATTTTATACAAAATGGTACTCCGTTTGGAAAGTAGTCTCATGACCTTTGGAATAGAAATTAGTAAATAATCAAAATGAAGACCTCTTCATGCACAGACCCAGACAGCCCACTTTAATTGACCAACCTTGCACTGTCACTGCCGTGTGAGAATGCCGTTAATACTTCAGCAACAAGACCCAAGGTCACCAATAATGACCTCCATCCATCAGACTAATAGCCAGCTTGATAAATGTCCCAGATTAACTATGAGACATTGACTGGTGATGAACTTCTTTTAATGACACTTTCCTCGACCGTCATTTACCAATCATTACATCCTCAAATTGGAGAGACGGGCAAAGCAACGTAGTAGGTGCTATATGTATTGTAGAACTACAAGTAGCACATGTTAAGAGATAGAGACGAGTCAGATAGACAGACATACAGACGGAAAGACGAACAGAAAGACATGTGGACAGATACACCGTTACGAAGGTCCAAAGCTAGATAAAGAGACAGATAGAAAGAAAAACATGCAATAAAAATTCATGCAAACGAATACCCTTGTACCTCATTCTGTCTCCTTATAACTGAACTTTAAAATGATCCCAATGCGTTTTACTAACCTGGATGACAATCCCAGCCATACGCGCATTTCACGCGCCCTCCACCTCGTTGTTGACATAGCAACCCACTGGGACATGCGGACAAAATGGGAGGCTTGTCTGGGATGAAATAGTGCCGGCGCGGGCACACGTATATCCCCGGCAGTGAACAGTTCGCGATACAAAACCGCCCTATTCCTAGGTCCTCGCACGGCGGCGGGTCGTCGTACCCAGACGGTTTTCCATCATAGAATTCTCCGCCGTACGACTGTGTAGAGCGAATGGCCAAACACAGGTAGATTAAACTCAAGATTGAGACGACTCCAGACATCTTCAGGGCCATCGATGTACACAATCAGCTGCTTATAAGTAGCTACTAGTTCTCTATTGTATTAACTATTACTATATATAGGACTAGGGCGCAAAAACAATGACTCTTTCATGCGGTGGCCTCTTTCAGCGTTGTCATCCGGACGCTGACTACGAAATTACTGCACTGATCAGAACAAACACAGGCGTCTACTACATGCATTAGTCACACTTCTCTTTAACCTCACTTTTTTTTGAAAGAAGGTGACATTTAATTGACATTAAGTAGATTTTAGCAGTTCAAAGTATGCATTAATGGGCCTTGTTAATGGAGAGGTACATATGTACACAGGTAATGATGTACGGTACCTGTAATAAAGACAGCAATAAAGACTTAACCATCTCCGCCCTTTTAATGTTGGAAAACCACGATGGTGTGTATTTTCTCATTTCAGGAGGTGGGTCTTATAAAAATCCATGCTAGCACCTGTATCTTTAATTAAGATTCGTCTTAGGTATCCATCTGTGATTTGATGATCAAAAAGAGAAACACTTTGCCACTGTGCATGTAGATCTATTCATTGATACGAACCACTGTGTCTTCTCAGACAGGCAGACGGACAGACGATATTGTTGCAAATCGTTTGCTGACTTGGTAATTAAAATTCGTCTTAGGTTTTGATCTATGATTTGCTGTACAAAGTCGGAAAGACGTTGTTACTCTGCGGGTAGATGTCATTATTGGAATGAACCCCAGTGTTTTCTCGGCCAGGAAGACGGACAAATCTGTAAATGCACGAGTTATGACACGTTGACTATGTGCAGGGCAATGAACTCTGTCTCTGTTAACACGGTATTGTTGCAAATTATTTGCCAACTTGATCATTCTTGATATGTAATGCTGCATGAAACGCCCTTTAAGAGTATTTGAAAATATTCCTCTATCCGTATGCGTTTGGTTTATAATACTGAAAGTTTTCATCCGTATCCGGTTGTCTCACATCTGACAAGTTGACTTTATTCAAAATCATTTTCAGCTTTAATGATATGGATTTATAAATTTGACTTGAATTTATTTTGTTGACTTTTAGACAAGCTACTGTACATGTAGCTGAACATGACAAGCCTGTTACTTCAACATGTTTTTTGGTGGTAGGCCTATTCACCTGTACAGGTGTTGCTTGCATCGGCAGTATCTCCATAATGTTAATTTACTGTAATTACTGTGTGTAAATTGACCAGAAATGTCGCTATTATTGCACCTTGTATATAAACTGTATAAAGCGTCTGCTCAAAGATCACTGTACTCCCTGTACATGTAGTTGCTTCCAAGATCCTAACATTTTAATTTTCTGTGTTTACTAATGCCCACACTTGTACATGCACGTACTTAGTATATCATGTTAGTGGAAAGCAAAAGCCCTGGTACCTTTTATATCTCAATTTTGGCAATATATAATGTATCCTACTAAAGATTGGAAAGAGAGCTTTATACCGATTTTGTTGAATTCGGTTTTAAGATAGTCTAGAGGGTCGGTGCGTTATAAAGGTCCATATTTAGCAAAGTAGCATTTGTTTACGTTCCTTTTATATAATAACTAATGTTAGCACTATTTGCAATAAACAATAAACACTTTTAGAGCTACTTTTTGTTGTTTTACTCATCACCCGTGCACCCTTTGCGTATTGAGTAAGCAAGCCATGGCCAGAAATGTGCAGCATTCACGCGATACGCGAGGGCGCTACAGTAGGGCTTCGCGTGACGCAACTAGCCAATCACAGCACAACAATGGCACCGCACACAGACTCTGTGATAAGTGCTCAGCCCGTTGTCAAGTAGTGTTAGTTCATGGTAACAAGCGTCTGACATGTGCAGAGAAGTTTATTGTAATATACCGGGGTATATTGTTCTTATTGTTACATTATTAAATCTAACTCTGTATCCAAGTAGTAACTATACTGTACCAAGTCAGGTACTGATGATGTGCAGAGGTCATATATTCCAGAATAATCCATTACCACTAATTTATAATTTTAATATTGTTTAATATGTTATTCATGAAAGAGTTCATGAAAGATTATTTTAATTTGTTAAATCGTGATCTTATTCTTTTTATATTCAAATAATTGAATAATGTGGGTAAAATTGGTCTTCCACTTCTTATTAGCATTTTTCCTTTACTACAAGATTATTTTGGAACAGTTGCAGCATTAAAATTTAAAATAAATAGCAATCTGAAAGAAGAATTTTGTATTATTATTAAATGATGATAGGAATTTTGGATTAAGAGATTAGTTAAATACTGAGTAGTGATATTGTCAGTCAATTTATGTAGAATCTGATAATATGATTGAAAATACTGATTGAATTCTTGGCCTTGCACTGGGCAGTTTCACATTTGTGCCAAGTGTTTTTTTGGACTCCATTGTACAGTGGTAAAAGCTCTTCAATTGCCATGAAAGTTTTTAATCAGACTCTGTATGGTGCTGGTATCTGGTGGTGCTATCGGCAACGAATTAGTTTGCCTTTGTTTCTGAGTGAATCTACCGTCTAAAATCACTATTTCTGAAAATATGTGCGTTTTGCTGAGGG